TCAGTTCATGAGCTATTTTTCGTTTGTTTGTTAATCCTCACCCGAGGATATATTTTTCCATTGATTTTTTTAGAGAGACTAGAACGGAGGGAGGAGACAGAGAGAGAAACATCAATGTGAGAAAGACACATTGAATGGTTGCCTCCTGCATGTGCCACTATCAGGGACTGGATGGAGCCTACAATTGAGGTAAGTGCCCTTCACTGGAAAGTGAACCTGGGAACCTTCAGTCCGAGGACTGATGCTCTATCCCAGCGGTTCTCAACCTGTGGGTCGCAAACCCTTTGGGGGTTGAAGGACCCTTTCACAGGGGTCGTCTAAATACATCCTGCATATCAGATATTCACATTACGATTCTTCCAGTTCACAGGCTGATGCTCTATCTACTGAGCCAAACCAGTTAGGGCACGATTCTTAACAGTAGCAAAATTACAGTTATGAAGTAGCAACAAAAATTTTATGGTTGGGGGTCACCAGAACATTTGGAACTGTATTAAAGGGTCGTGGCATTAGGAAGGTTGAGAACCACTGAAGGTAGAGTCTATCCACTGAGTCAAACCAGCTAGGGTTCATGAGCTAGTTTCATTTAGCTCCTGAATAGCTCAATTTTACTATTAAATATTTTCAAAGTATATTTTTATTGATTTCTGAAAGGAAGGGAGAGGGAGAGATAGAAACATCAATGATGAGAAAGAATCATTGATCGGCTGCCTCCTGCATCTGAGACCCCTACTGGGGAACGAGCCCAAAAACCGGGACACTCAATCACTGAGCCATTCCGGCTGGGCACTAGTAAATATTTTTAAAAAATGGGTTCAGAAATGTTACATTCTGTGAGGATTTTTATTTTTGTTAATGTCTAAATTTCAATGGCAACCTGGCTATGTATAATATATTTTTTGGTATAATATATGTTTTATAATATATGAATATTATGTATTGGTATAATATATGTTTATAAACATATAATATATGTTTTTCCCCTTTTAGACATGGTAGTCAAGCTATATATAAGTCTGAAAAAAAGTTTCTGCATGCCCACCATTGGGGATTGAGCCTGCAACCTGGGCATGTGCCCTGACTGGGAATTAAACCAGCGACCTCTTGGTGCATAGGACAATGCTCAACCAACTGAGCCATACTGGCCAGGGCTGGATAAAAAGCTTTGTCGTTCAATATTTAAAAATATTTAATCCAAGCTGATAAATCTCTAGTGAGACTATTCCGGAAAAAAAGAGAAGAAACATATTATCAATATCAAGAATGACAGAAATGACATTCCTACAGATTCTAGAGATATAAAGATAACAGGGAAATATTATAAACTTTATGTCAAAAAATTCAACAACTTAGATGAAATAGATAAGTTTCTTGAAAAACACTTACTAATGCTTGTTCAGGAAGAGAAATCTTGAATTACTTTATAGCTAATAAAGAATTTTCATGTGTTGTTCAAAAGCTTCCAGTAAATAAAACTTCTGGCCTACATGGATTAATTGGTAAATTCTATCAAACATTTCAAAAGAAAATAATACCATTACCACAGAAAGTCTTCTAGAAAGTTGAAAATGAGGAAATACTTCCCAACTCATTTATTTTTCCCCCAACTCATTTACTGAGGCCAAAAACCTAACACCAAAACCTGACAATGACATTATTAGAAACCTACAAAATAATATCCTTCATGAACATGAATGCAAAAATTCTAAATAAAAATTTAGCAAAGTCAATAAAATAATATAAGAAAAGGGTAAAAGATGATGACAAAGTAGGGTTTATCACTGGAATGTAGGGAAAGTTTAACACTTGGAAAATCAATGTCATTCATCATATAAAGAAACTTAAAAAAAAGGCTTTGCTTCTAAAAGAAAAAAAACCCAAAATAAAATGAAAAAGAAAAAACAATTAAAAAGAGAAAATAATAAAAAAAAAAGTTGGAAGACTAATACTACTGAATTTAAAACTTATTAGATATAAGAGCAAAAATAAGTCTGTAAAAATCTGAATTATTGATTTTCTTTTTTTTTTTTTTTTTTTAATATATTTTATTGATTTTTTACAGAGAGGAAGGGAGAGGGATAGAGAGTTAGAAACATCGATGAGAGAGAAACATTGATCAGCTGCCTCCTGCACGCCCCCCACTGGGGATGTGCCTGCAACCAAGGTACATGCCCTTGACCGGAATCGAACCTGGGACCCTTGAGTCCGCAGGCTGACGCTCTATCCACTGAGCCAAACCGGTTCGGCTGAATTATTGATTTTCAACAAAGGTGTAAAAGCAAGTCAGTGGAAAAAGTATAATCTTTTCAATAAATTGTGCTGGGACAACTGGATGTCCATATGCAAAAACAAGAAAAAACAAAACAAACCCCTAACAAAATTAATCCATCCTTTCCACCATATACAAAAATCATTTCAAATGAATCATAGACCTAAATCTTAAGAGCTAAAACTATAAAACTCATAGAAGAAAACAGGAATAAATCTTAGTGACCTGGAGTTAGGCAAAGATTTCTTAGCTATGAAACCAAAAGAAAAATCCATAAAAACAAACTGGCAATTTGAACTTCATCAAAATTATGTGCTCTTCAAAAGACACCAGTAAAATGAAAAGATAACAACAAATATTGGTGAGAATATACTGAGTGGAACTCTCATACATTGCTGGTGGGTACATACAATGGTACAAACTCCTTTAAAAAAATGATTGGCAGTTTCTGAAAAGTTAAATATACATCTAGCACATGATCTGGGCATTCCACTCTTAGGTATTTAATCAAGGAAAATTAAAGCAAACATTTCACATGAATGTTCACAGTAGCTTTATTAAGAGCCCAAATTTGTTAACAACCCAAATGGGGAAACAAACCACTTGATATCCATAATCAAGTGAACAGATAAAAAAATTATAGTATACCTATACAATGGAATACTACTCCACAATAAAAAGAAATGAACCATCAATACATGTAACAACACAAATTTTAGAATAACTATGCTTAGTAAAAGAGGCCAGACTAAAATACAAACATTCAATATACATGCTTAAACTGACATAAAACCTTAGAAAAACAAACCATTTACATATATTTATATATACAGTAAAATATATTGTTGGTTTCATGGGGATATAAAAGAGTGGGAGAAAGGAATTATAAAAGGGTTTGGGGAAACATTTTGGGTAGATATGCTTGCTATCTTGAGTGGTGATGGATTAATGGGTATGTATCTCCAAACATCAATTTTAAAACTTTAAATATAGTAGCTTATTATATGTCAATTTCACCTGAATAAAGCTGTTTCGAAATGCAAAACCTGCTAGTACTAGGCCCATATTCCCCCAAGGGCAGTAATAGGCTGAATGGCAGGTGTTGCTCTTCTCCCCACCAATATTTTCTTGTTTTAAACTAATTTCTTAAGCTCCTTCATTAAAAAAAAAAATAAAAATCAATATCCATGTAGAAATTTCATTTTTTTTCAGTGATGATTTTCCCCCAAACTGATTATTTAACTCTCTTTTGTATTTGTCACCATCATGATTAGATTTTGTTTGCTGTGTATAGTTTGGGTAAAATTCCTGATTTTTTTTCTCATCTTATTTGAGACCTGTTTGAATTATAGTGAAAGGCTGGATATTACAATCTACTCATTTCTTTGCTGCTAAGTAAAATGGTGTGTGCATTATTTATATTTATACTAGAGGCCCGATACATGAAATTCATGCAAGAGTAGGCCTTCCTTCCCCCGGCTACCAGCACCGGCTTCCCTCTGGTACCCGGGACCTGGGCTTCCCTCCTGCCACTGGCAGGCACCTGGGACCTGGCTTTCCTTGCAGCCCTGGCTTCGTCCAGAAGATCCTCTGGTCTAATTAGCATATTATGCTTTTATTATTATAGAAGATTGTATTTTCAAGGACAGAAAAAGAGTATAGGTAAGTATAGTCCTTGTACAATAACTCTGGGGGTTGCTTAGTTAGGAATTAAATTTATTGAGACCATTATGGTCAGTACTGTTCTCTCATTAGAGATTTCTTTTGTCTTTGCTGAGGTATAGTACCAATATTTAATGTTTAGTAAAGTTTTCCTTGACTTTCACCATTGATCTAACACTCACTCTCTCTATTTACCTTTGAATTTGCAAGTACCACTGCCTTAGTTTTTCCAATATTGCTTTTAGGAAGGTGAGCTAGGAGTTAATCATGACACCAAGCCACTTGAAAATCTGCTGTGCCTGAAAAAATAAAGTCTTTATTGATTTTAAAGAGGGAAAGAGAGAGAGAAACATTGATCAGTTGCCTCCTGCACTATTGGGCATCGAGCCTGAAACCTGAGCATGTGCCCTGACCTCTTGGTGCATGGGACAAGGTTAAAATTTCCCAAATTCTGTTTGAGTTGCTACTGAATTTTTGGGGGGAGGGGAAGGCATGCATTTTAAATAGAATACCCTGTACGAAGCCTTATGCTGTTATTTTTATCTGATTAGCTATCCCCCAAAGATTGTTGCCTTCAGGAAAAAATAAAAGCTATCACAAATAAAAAATACAACAATATTAGGAAAAGAACATAGGGCTACTTTTCAGTTATTAAATCTTATTTTGTATAACAGCTGTTTTGAACTCTTTACAATAAAGGGTTTGAGAACTCACACATAAAAAAAGCAAAGTATTAGTATGCTTATGCAGAAAACAGCGTACAAATAAAAGGTGTCTTGGAACAAAGAAGTTTTCTTGTAAATATTTATAAAAACAGTAGAAATTATAACATTTCTAGAATATAAATAATTAAATATCATTCATTAACTATAGGAACTAATGAAATGAAATAGAGTCAATGAAACAAGTTTCTCACAAGAACCTACAGAACTTTTTATTGATATAGTTATGGAGATTTTGATTCTGTAGGTATGTATGAGTAACAATTCTATGGTTCAATAAACTATACCTTTAATTTAAAGGGAGAAAAAATCTAGCAATGCAGCATTAATGCATAAGCAATACTTACCAGTACCGGAATTTTGAACCTAATGTAAAATAATGTGCAAAAAAATTCTTTTGAGGTGGAAGGGGTCTGTCCAAACGGAAGAAGGTGTGATGTTCTACACAAGCTTTCCACAAATTTTTGCATGCTCTGTAGTTCACCATATTAAATCCCAATAAGGTTTCTCTGGAATCATGCTGTAATAAATGACAAAAAGCAGAGAATACCAGGAATATATCAAGATCAATGCTCCATTTACTTTTTATAGGTAAATATCTAGCCTTACAAACACTAATCACTCGTTTATTTTGCTGTTATTATCCAATAAAAAAAGCAACAAAATAAATGGAAAGGTTTCTAAAATGTGGGGCTTATTACAACTCTTAGTTTTACTTTAGAACATAGTTAGAAATAAGTTTAAAAGTTGATGTATCTTTTTCAAAACTTTCTAGCTCTAATTTGTTTCAAAATATAATACTGGCCCTGGCAGGTTTTCCCAATGGTTAGAGCGCTGGCCTGTGCTCTGAAGGGTTGTGGGTTTGATTCCTGGTCAAGGGCACGTACCTGGTTTGCAGGTTCCATCCCTGGCCCTAGTTGGGCATGTGCAGGAAGCAACCAATCTCACATCGATGTTTCTCTCTCTCTCTCTCTCTCTCTGAAGAGCAATAGAAAAAATATCCTCAGGTGAGGATTGACGACAACAACAAAAATAATAATCCTGGCTGCTCTAGCTGGTTTGGCTCTGCAGACAGAGCACTGGCCTGTGGTCCGAAGGGTCCCAGGTTCGATTCCAGCCAAGAGTACATGCCCAGGTTGCGGACTCTATCCCCAGTAGGGGGCGTGCAGGAGGCAGCCGATCAATGATTCTCATCATTGATGTTTCTATTTCTCTCTCTCTCTCTCTCTCCCTTCCTCTCTGAAATCAATAAAATAAAATAAATTAAAAAAAAATAATAATCCTGGCCAATAAATTAAACTGTAAGATATACCATCACATCCTTTAATATCTCTAAGCTTACAAATCTGTTTAAGTGCTAAATAAGTAGATAAAAATATTCAGCACTTCTAAACACTATTATGAAACTCAAATTACAATTAAAATAAGTAGCAAAAGAATGGAGCATTTCTTTAATTTTTCTCTATAAGTTTGATTTAAATAGCTTCATTGAAATTAGCTATATAAAGTGAGGCACATATGTCGTAAGTGTACAGCTCTGATTTTCACACAATAAATGCAATCATTTAACCTCAAACCAGATCAAGAAATGATCATTACTAGCACCCCTGAAGTATCCTTGTTCCCGACTTTCTACCAGATTACCTTGTTTATGAACTTTATATGCATGAAATCATACATATATTATCTTTTGTTTTTAGGTCTGACTTTTATTTGATATTATATTTCTATATTCTATTCATCCATATAATTATGAAGCAGTGATCCACTCATTTTCATTCTACACAGCATTCTATCATATGAACATACCACTATTTATATATCCATTTATTGTTGATAGACATTTGATGTTTTCAATTTGGGTATGTATAAATATTGCTATTTACAGTATATTCCTGCATGTTGTCAGATGCACATATGTGCATATTTCTGCTGTTGGATCAAAGATATGTATGTGTCCACCTTTAGCAAATAATACCCAACAGTTTTCCGAAATGTTAAATACACACACACACACACACACACACACACACACACACACACCTTCCTACCAGCAGTGTGGTTCCAAATACTTATCACTGATTTATCAGTATTTTCATTACACTATTCTGGTGGATGTGAAGAAGTATCCCATTTTTGTTATCATTTGTACTTCCCTGATGATTAGTGAGGTTCAACATCTTTTCATGTTACTGGCCATGTGGATATCCTAATTTCTGCAGTGTCAATCCACTAACATATTTTTAGATTAGATTGGATATACAACCCAGGATGTGGTGTGTGTGTATTACATATATAGTCTGTGATACTTCACTCTCTTAATGATGTTTTTGATGAATACAGTTATTAATTTTAACACAGTTCAGGTTATTGAATTTTTCTTTTAAGATAGTTTTTCTTCTCTGTCCAATTACAGAACTCTTTGCCCATCAAAAGGTCAAAAAGATATTTTTTCATAACTAAAATACAGTAAAATGCCCAGATATAAATATTAAATTACTGTTAGAAGATAATATGCTTAAAATATCACTTCTAGATCATCAAAGAATTCTTAATTATTCTTAAGGGTTGCTTTGCATGCATTACATAGTTACCTGTTATACCACATACCACAAACAATGAAAAATGACAGAGAATGTCTCAGAATATGACTGCAGTAACTGTTCTGTGCTCCCTCTTTTTGACACTTAACTTCAAAGTCTATATATGATTCTGACATTCTACCAATAATATTTGGAATGTAACAAACTTTCCCACACATATTGTAAACAATAGATATGCTAAATGTGGTATTGAGAGATAAGTAGGTTCTATAAAGTTTGGGTATTTAAAAACAAAGAGATATTTCAGAGAGAAAACATTAGAAGGCACAATTCGGCAGAGTATGTCTGTCTACAGTCTTTAATCAATTGTTAGTTGACTTTTTGTTACTGATATTATCTGAGGCAATGGTTGTGAGGATTAAATGATACGCAAATGATTGGTTTATTACCAGGCACACAGTAAGACCTCAATAAATGTTAGATACTATAAGTACTGTTATGATGAGTAATAACAATAGTACTATAATGGGAAGCAAATTAGAAAAGTTGACTTCTTTACTGTCTTCTATCCATATAAGGTAAAATATCTGTTTGTTCTCCAGTTTCCAGATAAGACATATTTTATTCCTCTAAGCATTTATTGAAACGTGTAAAAAATGTTCATAAGCAGCATTAACAATAATAGCTACAATCTGGAAATGACAAAATTGTTCACTAACGTAAGAATAACTATTTATGGTATATTCATTCAGTAGAATACCATACAGCAATGGAGCAAACTACTGCTAGTAGTTCAAAAACATGGATGAACTTCATAATGTTAAGAGAGAAAAAGGAGACAAAAGGAGAACATTCTACAGAATTTCTTTGAAGTTCAAAAATAAACAAACTAATCCATGGTGATACAAATGAGAGTAATGTTTGCCTTTTGGAAGGGTTAAGGACTGCAAGTGGGCATCACCTCTATTAGCAATAATACCAGCTTCTGGGGTGGTGATAATGTTCTACATCTTAACATTATGTATCATACTAGAGGCCCGGTGCACAAAAACTTGTGCACTGGGGGTGGGGGGGGGGGGTTGGGGGGGGTGTCCCTCAGCCCGGCCTGTGCCCTCTCGCAGTCTGGGAACCCTCGGGGGATGACCACCTGCTGGCTTAGGCCTGCTCCCTGGGGGATTGGGCCTAAGCTGGCAATCAGACATCCCTCTGGCAGCCCGGCAGCCCTCGGGGGATGTCCACTTGCCAGCGGGGAGCAGACCTAAACTGCAGTCGCACATCCTTAGTGCTGCTGAGGAGGCAGGAGAGGCTCCCACCACCACTGCTGTACTGGCAGCCATCAGCCTGGCTTGGGGCTGAGCAGAGCTCCCCCATGTGGGAGCGCACTGACCACCAGAGGGCAGCTCCTGAATTGAACGTCTGCCCCCTGGTGTTCAGTGTGTGTCACAGTGACCAGTCATTCCCAGTCTTTCTGCCATTAGGGTCAGTTTGCATATTACCCTTTTACTATATAGGATAGAGGCCTGGTACACGGGTGGGGGCCGGCTGGTTTGCCCTGAAGGGTGTCCCAGATCAGGGTGGGGGTCCCGCTTGGGTGCCTGGCCAGCCTGGGTAAGGGGCCGATGGCTGTTTGCAGCTGGTCACACCTCCTTCAGGGTGGGGGTCCCCACTGGGGTGCCTGGCCAGCTTGGATGAGGGGCTGATGGCTGTTTTCAGGCTGGTCACACCCCCCTTAGGGTGGGGGTCCCCACTGGGGTGCCTGGCCAGTCTGGGTGAGGGGCTGAGGGCCGTTTTCAGGCTGGCTGGCGACTGAAGCTCCCAGCCTCTCCTTTTTTTTCTTTTCTTTTTTATTCTGTGATTTATTTACCTTCTATAATTGAAACTTTGTTGCCGTCACTGGAGCTGAGAGCTGCTCCTGCTCGCTCCAGCTCTGAGACAACGGCCTGCTGAAAGCAGGTATCTGGGGTTTGTTTAGCTTCTATAATTGAAACTTTGTTGCCGTCACTGGAGCTAAGAGCCGGCTCCTGCTCGCTCCAGCTCTGTGGCCATGGCCTGATGAAAGGGATCTGGGGTTTGTTTAGCTTCTATAATTGAAACTTTGTTGCTTTCGGAGCTCAAAGCCAGGCCGTGGCAGGCGGGGAACCTTGGCTTCCTCCATCACTGGAGCAAGCAAGTCTCCTGCTTGCTTCAGCTGCGTGGCTGCCGACCGCCATCTTGGTTGGGTTAATTTACATATCATGCTGCTTAGCCCATGGGAGGCGTAGCAAAGCTATGGTCAATTACCATGTTTGTCTATTATTAGACAGGATACTTATTAAACACTATACATAATATCTGTATAATTTTCCATTTCAATAAAACTGTTGAAAAAAACTTCCTTATTTTGTGAGCATAAATGATGGATCATAGTGACTTAATAGATCACTATCTTCTGATAAAATGAATCAAATACAATTTTAAGATCTTGAATATATTTTACACATACATTGTGGAAGGCCCTCTGCCAGGGAAGGCGCTGGCTTTCTTTTAAATTCATGTCAACTGAACCCATAGTGAAGGCAGAGCCTTATCTTGGGGCATATCTAACCAAGAGGTGGGGATGCCTCAGTTGACCTTCAAAGCCAGGTGCTGGGAAGTGGGTTCTTATCTAAATCTAGTCAAGCACCAGGAATGAATGCAATTTGGACTCACCCACCAACCCGGAGGTGACTATTTACAAGGAAGCTTCAAGAATGCACACATCCCCCCTTTTATTTACCCTTAGTAAAACTTCCTGGTATCTGGCTATAAATAAAAGTTGCTGCGCTGGCTCTGGGCCCTGTTCATCTATCAAAGAGCAGATGCCACACCCGATCCCAGCTTTCCTCTATTTCTGTCTCAGTCTTGTTTTATTCAATTTTCCTTAAACCTCATCAAGTTCTATTCAAGATTTCATCAAGCCCGGAGTTCTCTCTCTCTGCACTGGTCGCAAGAAGAGAGAACACCATCCCCCCATATCTGACGCCACGAACAGGGATCCCCACAACACACACCTATCCTGAAATCTGCATTGATTTGTCAAGATTTCTGAGAAATAATATACATCAAAGAATAAGATTAGTCTAATCTCATAAAATAGAAAAAAAACTACAAGATGAAATTCTTTCCAACATTACTTTCCATGATAACGCAATATGTAGTACTTAATATATAAAAAGGACATTGCCACTATAAAAAAAGGGAGACATAAACTATATGTTCATGAACAAGAACTAAAACTAAACACTCAGGTTCCCTAAAATAAAATGAGCTTATATATGAAGGAACTGCTACAGATTTAGTAGTACAAAGAAAAAGAACACATAAAATACTCAGTTACTGCCCTCATGAATGGACCCTAGGGACTGATATTAAACATCATGACTGAGGTCAGTTTTTAAGCTTAAAAAATAGCAAAATGGATAATTAGAACAACTTTAAATCATAACCACAGAAACACTGGGAAAATAATACAACTTGTCATAAAATGTGAATTAAGTCAGGAAGCAGTTATCAATAGTATTAATAACACTTTCACTAGCACTGAAAGTTGCCATGAATGACCTGTCATTTCTTAAGACTTCATTTATATTAATAATTAGACAAATACTCACCAATTCTTTTCTAAGTTGAATAAAAAACTGTTTGCACTTAAACGAAATTTTTACAATCTTCAACCTAGATAAAAAGAAACAGAACTGAAATATTTAAAATACTGAATAAAGACATAAATATTAGCAAATTAAGAAAACAATTATTTTAAAAGATCGATAAAATTGATAAGCCAGACTAAGAAAAAAGAGAATACACAAGTACTAATATCAGAAATGAAAGAGTAGACATTACTATAAATCCCACTGATATTAAAAGCATAATGAAAGGATACTATGAACAAGTCTATACCCACAAATTTGATAATTTCAATGAAATGAACTAATTTTTTGAAAGACACAATCTGCCAAAATTTACATAGGAAGAGATACTTGATCTAAATGGGCCTATACAGTAGTCCCCTTTCATTTTCAGGGGATAAACTTCAATACCTCAGTGAATGCCTGAAAATGCATATAGTACTGAACCCTATCTCTGAATGATCCCCCCCCCCCACCCCATACATACTTACTTTGTTCACTTAAAGGAAGCAACTTATGGCTTCTTTTTGGCGTATCCAAATTGCCAGCATCCCTAAGCTTTGCACTTTGGGCCATTATTAAGTAAAATCAGGGTTACTTGAATGTAAGTACTAAGATCTGATAACTGAGAGGGATACTAGGTGACTGATGGGAAGGTATCGAATATGCTGAAAAAAGGATGAGTCACATCACTGGCTGGATGGAGCTGGACAGTTCAAGATTCCATCACCTTACTCAGAACAGCATACAATTTAAAATATATGAATTGTTTATTTCTGGAATTTTCCATTTAAAATTTTTAGGCCATGGATAACTGAAACTGTGGAGAGCAAACTGCAGCTAAGAGGGGATTACTGTAGATATTAAAGGAATTTTAAAAAAGCTATCAGGCCCACATGTGTTCACTAGTGAACTGTACCAAACATTTAAATATTATACCAACTTTTTACAATCCCTTTCAGAGTATAGGAGCAGAGGGAATACTTCCAAAGTCATCCTATGATGTCAGAATTATCCTAATACCAAAACTAGACAAAGTCCTTACAAGAAAACTACAAAACAGTATCTCTTATAACCATAAATTTAAAAATCCTAAATAAAATATTATCATATGAAACCTAACAATTCCAAAGGGGATTTATCCCAGAAATGCAAGGCTTTTTGAAAATCAATTACTACAAACCAATACTTCAAAAGACTAAAAGAGAAAAAAATTACATGATCACATCAATACATTCAGAATAAGCATCTGACAAAATCCAATGCCTCGTAATGATTAAAAACCCTCTGTAAAGTAGGAATAGAGGGAAACTTTCTCAACTTTCTATAAAACCCTTGTGCTAACATACTTAATGGTGTGAAACTAATTTTCTATCTAAGATCAGGTAAAATGTAGGGATGTCCCCTTTAACCACTCCTTTTCAATAAGGCAAGAAAAGGAAATGAAAGATACACTGATTGAAAAGGATCACATAAAACTATCTTTGTTCAAAGATGACATAATTGTCTATGTAGAACATCCAAAAGAATCAAACAAAAAAACCTCCTGGAACTAATACTGAGTGATGATAGTAAAGTTGCAGGGTACACAGTTAATATACAAAAGTCCACTGCTTTCCTGTGTAGCAACAATGACCAAGTGGAATCTGAAATTAAAAACATAATACCATGTACAATAGCACCCCCCAAAATGAAATACTTAAGTATAAATCTAAAAAATATGCACTAGGACTATATGAAGAAAATTATAAAACTCCGATGAACAAAAACGACGAAGATATAAATAAATGTAAATAAATTCCAAGTTCCTGGATAGGTTTGCCAAGATGTCAATTCTGTCCATTTTGATCTAGAGATTCAATGTAATCCCAATAAAAATCCCATTAAGTTATTTGTGAATACTGACAAATTGATTCTAAAGTTTATATGGAGAGGTGAAAAATCCAGAATAGCCAACATGTATTATAGGAAAACAACAAAGTTGGAGGAGTGAGGCTACCTGAGTTAAAAACTTACTATAAAGCTATAGTAATCAAAACAGTATAGTATTTGTGAAAGAATAGCCCAAACAGATCAATGTTATAGAATAGAGAACTCAGAAACAGTCAAATGATCTTTGAGAAAGGGCAAAGGCAGTCCCTTCAACAAATGGTGTTGGAACAACTGGACATCCACATGCAAAAACAAAATAAATTTAGACAAAGACCTTATACCCTTCAAAAAAATTAATTCAAAATGGATCAGAGACCTAAACATAAAATGCAAAATTATAAAACTCTTAGATATAACAATGGAAAAAAATCTAGATACTCTTGGGTATAGGGATGCTCTTATAGATATAACACCAAAAACATGATTAATAAAATAATTGAGAAGCTTGAATTTATTAAAATTAAAAAGTTCTCTGTGAAAGGCAATAAATTAGAAAACAAGCCATAGACTAGGAGAAAATATTTGTAAAAGACACATCTGATAAAGGACTATTATCCAAAATATACAAAAAACTCTTCAAATTTAACAATAAAACAAACAACCCAATAAAAATGAGCAAAAGCACTTAACAGACACCTCACCAAAGAAGATACATAGTTGGCAAATAAGCACATCATATGTCATCAGGGAAATGCAAATTAAAACATTAAGACAGCACTACACACCCGCAGAATGGCCGAAACCCAGAATGCTGACAAAATCAAATGCTGACGAGGATAAGGAGCAACAGGAACTCTCATTCATTTTGGGGGGGAATGCAAAATGATACAGCCACTTTGGAAGGCTATTTGGCAATTTCTTACAAAACTAAACTTACTTGTATCATACCATCTAGAAACTGCACTCCTTGGCATTTAACTAAAGGAATGGGGAACGCATGTCCATACAAAAATCTGTACATGGATGTTAATAGCAAGCAGTTTTATTCATAACTGCCAAAACTTGGAAGGAACAAAATGGCTTTCAGTTGGTGAATGAATGAAAAAACTGTGGTATATCCAGACAATGGGATATTATTCAGCTCTAAAAAGAAATGATGGCCGAAACCGGTTTGGCTCAGTGGATAGAGCGTCGGCCTGCGGACTGAAAGGTCCCAGGTTCGATTCCGGTCAAGGGCATGTACCTGGGTTGTGGGCATATCCCCAGTAGGAGATGTGCAGGAGGCAGCTGATCGATGTTTCTCTCTCATTGATGTTTCTAACTCTCTATCTCTCTCCCTTCCTCTCTGTAAAAAATCAATAAAATATATTTAAAAAAAAAAAGAAAAGAAATGATGTATCAAGCCATAGAAGATATGGATAAAAAGTAAATGCATACCACTTAATGAAAAATGTGTGCAAGTCTGTAAATTCACACTAGAGGACAGGTGCACAAATTGGTGTATGGGTGGGGTCCGGATGGCTGGCCTGACCAGGGGGAGGGGATGCAGGAGGGTGGCAGGCCAGCCCCACCCCCTGGTCGACCTCCCGGTTGAGGGGACGCTTTGCATATTACCCTTTTATTATATAGGATTTGCTTTAATTTCCCTTGGGTAAAACCTTAGGAATAGAATGGCTCAATCATATGATAGCTTTTATGTTTAAATTTTTAAGAAACTACACAACAGTTTTCCAAATTGGTTGGACCATTGTACAAAGCAATACAGTATTAGCTTCACTAGCCTTCTTATGAATACTATTTCAATGCATTTACATATTATATCACTTTCATTTCTTTATTTTCAGCCAATCTACATATGTACTCATATCTGCTTTTTTCTTTTCAATCTGTTTGCCTTTTATTTCATATTCTTGACTTAATATGCTTGTTAGGACTTAAGTAACAAAGCTGAAGTTGAGAGAATAAGCATACTTTTCCCTGATTTTACTTACATAAAAAGTATTGACACTTTTATGATTTAGCATAATATTAACAGATTTTCCATAGATATCTTAATCAGGGTGTCCTTTTGTATATACAAAAATGTATATACACTTTGAATAATTATAAAGGCAGTGTTTATTAGAATATATTTCATCACCTGGCTGGTGTGGCTCAGTTGTCAAGTGTCGACCTATGAACCAAGAAGGTCAAGGTACGATTCCTGGTTAGGGAACATGCCCAGGTTTTTGGGCTCGATCCTCAGTAGGGTGTGTGTAGGAGGCAGCCGATCAATGATTCTCTCTCATCAGTGATGTTTTTATCTCTCTCTCCCTCTTTGAAATAAATGAAAATATATTTTTTAAAAATATTACTAAAATACATTTTATTTTCAGAATTTGAGCTATCAAAGTATGACACTTTACCACTGAACCACACTGGCCAGGGCTGCTGGATTATTTTTATGAACTCTATCTCCAGCAGTCAACCCTCAGTGTTAAGCTTCTACTGTTGCTTTTCAGGAAGGCATAGCTTTGAATATGCCCACAGTAATCCTAAAATGACAGTGGTACCAGTCATCCCAGTCTTTCAATAAGCACTCCCAAGTATAACACTCCCTTACTTACCCACACTCCTCTACTGTTTTCAATAATGCCCTGGGGCATAAATTCCTTTAGAAACTAAAGCTATCAAAGTGTAGCTTCCTCAAAGGAACAGTTTATGAGGTAGGTGTTTGAAGCTATTTCCTATCCCATCTTTGTTTTTATCTCTCCTGTTGTCTCTGGGTTTCCCTACAGACTACTTCTTATGTAGTCTGAGTCTTGCAGTTATTTAAATTTTAATTGTATTATACAGGAACCCTGCTGATGTAGTAAGATGTGGGTTGGAGGAATAATTCTTTAATTCTATGATTAGGTCTCAGTGATTTAATGGTCTATGACCCTTGACTATGACCTTCAGTGCTTTTCAGCTCACCTTGTTCTTAGGTGACACAAGAACTATGGAGGGAGCCGGATGGGGGGATTTCCCTTCCTCGACTTTCATTAGGCTCTTAGTGATAAAAACCCATGTTGGTTAAGTACTGGTAAAACGGATTTCCTTGAGGGCAGACCTTCATTAAAGAGAAAAGAAACCTCTGGGCATATTTAAAACTAGGGGCCCGGTGCACGAAATTCGTGCACTGGGTGTGTGTGTGTGTGTGTGTGGGGTGTCCCTCAGCCCAGCCTGCCCCCTCTCACATACTGGGAGCCCTCAGGCGTTGACCCCCATCACCCTCTGATCGCCTGATCGGCCCCTTGCCCAGGCCTGACGCCTCCGCCAGAGGTGTCAGGCTTGGACAGGGGACCCCCATCTCCCCCCGATCACTGGCTCTGGCCCCCGCCCAGGCCTGAGGCCTCTGGCCCAGGAATCATGCCTGGGCAGGGGACCCCCATCTCCCTCTGATCGCTTGCTCCACCCCCCGCCCAAGCCTGACGCCTCTGACCCAGGCTTCAGGCCTGGGCAAGGGACCATCATATCCCCCCAATCCCCGGCTCCGCCCCCCACCCAGGCCTGATGCCTCAGCCAGAGGAGTTGACCCTCATCACCCTCCGATCACCAATCACAGGATCGGCCCCTTGACCAGGCCTGAGGCCTCCGGCAGAGGTGTCAGGCCTGGGCAGGGGACCCCCAGCTCCCCGCGGTTGCAGGCTCTGCCCCTGCCCAGGCCTAACGCCTCTGGCCTAGGCGTCCGGCCCAGGCAGCGGGGACCTGCAGTGGCAGCGGGGGGCGCCGCGATCGTGGGCTTTGCTTTAGGCCCAGGCAAAGGACCCCTAGCTCCCGGGACTGCCAGCTTCGACCATGCCCAGCTCCCATCGCTGGCTCCACCCCTACTTCCTGCTATCACTGGCCAGGGTGGCAAAGGCGCCTGATTCTCCGATCATGGCTGGGGGGCAGGGCAAAGGCGGCCCCAGCCCCCCAGCTCTTAGCTCCCCGCTGGGTTTCCGATCACTGTCAGTGGCAGGGGGCTTCTTCCTGCTTTCCCTTTCGCCTCCCTGCATTGTGCCTACATATGCAAATTAGCCGCCATCTTGTTGGCAGTTAACTGCCAATCTTAGTTGGCAGTTAATTTGCATATAGCCCTGATTAGCCAATGAAAATGGTATCGCCGTACGCCAATTACCATTTTTCTCTTTTATTAGTGTAGATGGTTATCTCCTGGCTCACCAGCACCATCATCCCCAACCTTTCCAGAACATGAGTAGATTTTTCTACAATTTTCACCTTGAGAACCTGGTGAACATCTGATGGTAGAACTTATGAAAACATAGGGGTCCTTCCTAAGGCTGAGACTTCAGGAGTTTTCATCTCTCAAGCTATCTTTGCTCAGTCTCCAGCAAATAGTCAATTACCTTTTAATTATTTCCTACCAGTTGCTGGCTACAGCAGTGATTTCTTAGTCATAGTAAACTGTCATTCTTTATATTCATCTGTCTCTCCAGTTTTGAGAGATGCAGTATGCCTTGAGTACTTAATTCTCTGAGGGAATCTAAAAACGATAGTTGATTTTCATTTTTCCTTGTTGTTTTTTTTTGTTGTTTTTTTTGTTGTAAGGATAGGAGTGATGACTTCCAAGTTCTTTGCCTGCTGGACTGGGAACCACAACTCTCTCCTCCCCATTTTATTTTCTTAATGGTGGGTGTTTTTTTAAAAAAAATGTATTTCTTTTTAAAAAAGAAATATTTTAATTGATTTCAGAGAGGAAAGGAGAGAAAAGATAGAAACATCAATGATGAGAGAGAATCATTGATCAGTTGCCTCCTGCATGCTCCATGCTGGGGATTGAACCTGCCACCTGGGCATATGCCCTGATTGGAATCAAACCATGACATCCTGGTTCATGTGTTGATGCTCAACCACTGGCCAGGCTTAATGGTGTTGTTTTTTATTAGTATTAATTTTAATGAAGTCTAATTTAGAGAATACAAATAACCCCAATTCACTATTAAACATTTTAAAAGTGTGAATTTGAACTAAATAATTCAGGGATAACCATACATGAAAAGATATGAGGGAGCATATTTAGTATGTGGCACACTACTTTTTTTAGAGCTCTAATTTTGAAAGAAGTGGCAGGTAAGTGAAAAGCTAGTGTTTCAGGATCTGAAAGACCTGGGTTTAAAATTCTACTTCATACTTACCAGTTGTTTAACCTTAGACCAGTCAACTTCTCGGCTAGAGTACACATGATGCTAGCTATTATATTACAGTATAAATATAGAAATTCCCTAAGAGAAAAATTCATAAAGTAGTATTTCTGAGAAGCTAAGCAATTTTTGAAATAAATTAACACAATTATTTTGGTATCTTCTGGTAGATTCCAAGTAAGTAAAATAAATTTGCATGCCAATATTAATATACTTTGTCACTTTCTTTAATATGAATTATTATATTAGTAATATAAAAAAGTAAAAGTATTAATGGAAGTCCTTACCATGGAAAGGTATTCATTCGTACCCTGTTCTTATAAATCAGAATTCCTCCTGACATCACTCCAATCATAATTTCATTGTTACTTTGATCCTTCAAAAAAGAAAATGACAAATCTAAAATACTGGGATTTATCTGTTAAAAATGTATTTTAAAAACAGGCTTAGTTTTTTTTTTTTATACAATGAGACATTTTCAAAGGCACCACATCCTATATAATAAAACCTAATATGCAAATCAACCAAACGGCAGAACGACCAGTCGCTATGACACACACTGACCACCAGGGGGCAGACGCTCAATGCAGAAGCTGCCCCCTGGTGGTCAGTGCACTCCCACTGGGGGAGCGCTGCTCAGCCAGAAGCCGGGCTCATGGCTGGCAAGTGCAGTGGCAGTGGCGGGAGCCTCTCCCGCCTCTGGCAGTCGGACATCCCCTGAGGGGTCCCAGACTGCTAGAGGGCGCAGGCCAGGCTGAGGGATCCCCCCCCCCCCGTGTGCATGAATGTTGTGCACCAGGCCTCTAGTAACTGCATATTTACAAATCCATATGGTAATTCTTACCGCATAAAAATAAATGACATATTTCAAATTAAACTTAAATGTTGCATTATTAAAAGTCATTATGATCTAAGGACTCCGCATAGTTTATAATTTATTTGGGACAGAAAATTAGAATGATGAGTTAGTATCATCCTTCCATTCCTAAAATTCTTATGTTCTAATCACAAACCCAAACAGAAAGCCAAAATGAGGAGACAAATATAATGCTCTGATTGCAAAAAGTGAAAAAAAAATATGGAGGACTTCAGAGTTTGGTGAATAAAACAGTATTTTTAATATAAGAAAACTCCTATAATTAGTATAATACAATAAAATACATCATAAAATTATAGAGTGAGGAACAATTAATTGTTTTGAGAGTTTGGAAGACTCCAAAGAAGAAAACTGAATTGCGCTTTGAGGATTGAGTAAGAGTTTTCATGCTAACCAATCGAACTTGAATAGCTAACCTACATTATGAGAATGAATTGCATTAAACTACTTTTTTCAGATGCTAATCAACCTTGAAATAGTTTTGCTTTTTGACTTGAAGCATTCCATAGATAAACTAAGATAGCAATAATGCTTTTACCTCCTTCTATTCATTTGCTCAAAAAGAATTGCTGAAAATATAAGATTTTATAATTGTCTCCCTAAGAAAACAAAAATATTTAAAATGTACTTACAATAATTTCAAATTAAATAAAACCATATTAAATTAACTCTTTAGGTAGGATAATACATAAAGAGGTCAAACACAACAGTGTATGCTAATTTGTCTGGATGCTCATTTAGTTTATCAATAACCAAAACCACTGTACATTATTATCAGAACCTTAAATAATTTTTTAAAGGACACCAATTAGAAGTCAGGACCAAAATAGCAGACCGATCCGAACAGATGGCAGACTTAATATATGCTCCTATTACTTCTTCAGCTCCCCATCGGAGAACATCAGAGAAGATATATGAAAAGGAAAAGAATCTGTAAAACTTGAAAACAATCCATAACACCCAAAGGTATATAATCAAGGCACCAGATAGTTTGAGGGAACTGTAAAGACATAAACACGATACAATCAGAATACAGAAAACCACAGCTCAAACTACACACACAAGAGCAAGTTCTATGTGGAGGTGGAAAGAGAAGCAAATTTAAAAGATAAAGTACAGAGATTAAAAATGGCAGTGGAGTAAGTGGATGCTGCACAGATATGCTCCAAGGAACAAACTGGAATTACAACTAAATTAGAGAAAAACTTCCTGAATAATCAATGGAAGACTTGCTGGAGAGAACCCTGATACCTGAGGACCGAAAGTGGAGACCACATAGAAACTGGTAGGAGTGGCAGAGTGGCAAAAGGGCTGGCCGGGTGCCCACAGACAGCAACTGAAGTTCTAGAGAGCTATCTCAGTTCTGGGGGTTGCCAGTGAGAACTCTAGGGTCTAATCCCCGAGCTGCCCCCCCCCCCCCCCCCCCCGCCCCGCAGAGAACACCACAACTGAGAAGGGTAACTACATAACATCTGGCTGTGAAAAGCAGCAGGATTGCTGTCTGCCAGCGAGAGCAGGGAGAGACAGCTGGAAATTCAGGCACCCTCTTAAAGGGCCAACACACAAAATTCCCTGTGGAGCCACCTACTTTGTGCTCTTGCAGAGGGAGGGCAGAGTGGACTGAAGCTGTGTGAACAGAAGGCAGGATCCGGGGCTCAGGAGTTAGAGCTCAGAAGGCAGACACTCTGGTTTCCTGTGCTGAGTCATTCCCTTACGCTGTGGAGGTCATATTTCTCACGCAGGCATTAGGTATACAGGCGACCTTGCCTGTTGGGGAAGACAGCTGATCCACCCCATTGAAAACACCTTGCCCCACAGTGCAGAATTGCTGAGGCCCAATAAAGAGGCTGAGAATAACAATTAGCTTTCAGGCAGAAGCAACTGCCAAACACTGTTGACAAAAACTCTTGCCACACCTGTGGATGATTGATTGAGGACAATTTAAGACAGAATCATATCAGTCTGTAAATAGATATGGTCTCTGGAGGCTTACAGTCTTTGCCTGACCTAATCAGTCAGAAACAGCATTTGACACTGTCCTGCATTAGAGATTGAGAGGCGTACCAGATCAATCTAATAGGTAGTAACAAACCCAAACAGAAAGCCAAAATGAGGAGACAAAGAAACAACCCCCAAATGAAAGAACAAGAGAATTCTCCAGAAGAAGAGATAAATGAAATGGAGATCAGAAATTTATCAGATAAAGAGTTCAGAGTAAGGATGGTAAAGATGCTCAAAAGCATGAGAAAAGATATAGTAACTATGAAAGCAAATAAAGAACAACATAGCACAAATAAAGAAGACATTGGAAGACACAGCTGATTAGGGGAAGCTGAGGATCGAATCAGTGAATTAGATGATGAGGTTGAAAAATCACTCAATCAGAGAACCAAAAAGAAAAAAACAATTGAAAAACAGGAGGACAATTTAAGAGAGCTGTGGGACAAGATGAAATGTAACAATATTCGAATAGCAGGTGTGCCAGAAGAGGCAAAAAGGGAGAAGGGATAGAAAACTTCCCTAGCCTGGTAAAGAAAAAGTCACACAAGTTCAGGAGGCACAGAGAACCCCAAGCAAGAAGAACCCAAACAGGCCCATGCCTAGACACATAATTAAATTGCCAAAAATTAAAGTCAAAGAAAGAATCTTAAAGGCAGCAAGAGAAAAGCAAACTCTTACCTACAAAGGAGCTCCCCTAAGGCTGACACCCGATTTCTCATCAGAAACTCTACAGGCCAGACGGGAATAGCATGAAGTACACAAGGTAATGGAAAGCAAGGATCTAAAACCAAGATTATCCATCAAGGCTACCATTCAAAATAGACAGCCAAATAAAGAGCATCTTGGACACAAAAAGGCTAAAGGCATACATCACCACCAAGCCAACATTACAACAAATGCTAAAGGGAATGCTGTAATGAGAAGAAGAAGAAACAGAGAGAGAAACCTAGGCATACAGAATTAAACAGAATTAAAATGGCAATAAATAAGTACCTATCAATAACAGCCTTAAACGTAAATGGACTAAATGCTCCAAAAGGCAGAGGGTAGCTGAATGGATACAAAAACATGACCTAACTATATGCTGTCTACAAGAGGCCCACCTCAGAACAAAAGACACACACAGGATGAGAATAAAAGGATGGAAAAAAATTTTCCCATGCAAGTGGAAAAGAAAAAAAAGCTTGAGTAGCAATACTTATGCCTGAGAAATTAGACCTCAAGTGAAAGCTATAACAAGAGATAAGGAGGGCTACTTCATAATACTAAAGGGAGTGCATCAACAAGAGGATATAATTCTGATAAACCTATATGCCACAAATATAGGAGCACCCAAATACATTAAAAAAACAACAACAAAAAACTTCTGGAAGATATTAAGGGAGAGATCAACAGCAATACAATCATAGTAGGGGTCTTTAATACCCCAATGACAGCACTGGATAAATCTTCTAAACAAAAAATCAGCAAAGAAACATCAATCCTAAATGACTCACTAGATCAGATGGACTTAATTGGTATCTTCAGAACACTTCACCCCAAAGCTATAGAATATACATTCTTCTCAAGTGCACATGAACATTTTCAAAGATAGACCACATATTAGGGCACAGGCTAAGTCTCTACAAATTCAAGAAGACTGAAATTATAACAAGCATCTTCTCAGATCACAATGGCATAAAATTAGAAATCAACTACAATAAAAACAATTAACAAGTATCAAACACATGGAGGGTAAATAGCATGCTATTAAACAATGAATGAGTTACCAAAGAGATCAAAGAAGAAATAAAAAACATTCTGGAAACAAATGATAATGAAAACACAGCAATCCAAAATCGATGGGGACATATTGAAAGGAGTCCTGAGAGGGAAGTTCATAGCTCTACAGGCCTACCTCAAAAAGAAAACAACAACAGAAAAACTGGTAATAAGGTATCTAACTCAACAACTTGAACAACTAGAAAACAGCAACAAGAAAAACCCAGTGTAAGTAAAAGGGAGATATAATAATGATCAGAGCGGAAATAACAGAGACAAAAAAAAAAAAAATCAATAGAACCAAAAGCTGGTTCATTGAAAGGATAAACAAGATTGATGAACTGTTAGCCAGGCTCACCAAGAAACAAAGAGAGGACCCAAATAAACAAAATCAGAAATAAAAGATGTGAAGTAACAACTGACCCCACAGAAATACAAAGGATTGTAAAAAAAAAAAAAAAAATACTATAAACAACTTTCCTAAAATAAACTGGACAACCTAGATGAAATGGACATATGCCTAGAAAAATACAATCTTCCAAAACTCAACCAGGAAGAATCAGAAAACCTGAATAGGCTGATAACTACCAATGAAATTGAAGCAGTAATCAAAAAACTTCCACCAAACAAAAGCCTAGTGCAGACGGCTTCACGGGGGATTTTTACCAAACATTCACAGAAGAACTAAAACCGACCCTCCTCAATCTATTCCAAACAATTCAAGAGGAAGGCACACT